CATTCTCATATTCGATACAATTATTTTTAACTATAATTTTCGTACTTCTGATTATGCTACAAATATACAGTAGTTAATAAACTTCGTTTTAGAGTTGGAACAATTCTGTTATTTTTATTTTATGGTAACAGTATCCTTGATATCACAATATTGACATATTCTAACGTTTCAGTGGAAACGTACAGTAGTTCAGGTAAACCACTGGTCAGCCAGTAAAACACACTGGCTTAACATGTCGATCAGTTTTCTCTTATTTGGCAATATCTATTTCGTTTTTGTTATTGTCTATTTGCTACTGCTAAACTACTGTTCTTCGTCGATCATATAAACAATTTGTATTAACCTATAGATATTTATTTAAACACAGAAGTATGGACGGAATAAAAAAATAATCTTGTTAATTAAATAAATATCCCAATTTGAGAGATTATGCTTTTTAGATAGAAATCAACGAACAGGTAGACAAATTTTTCATATTATATACTTGCTCATTTTCGGTATAACGTGCGGTGCGATATTTTCAACCGCATCATTACTCCTACTCTCCGGGGGTAGGTCAGCTTAATAAGCAGTACGATAATTAATGCAGGTATGTCAACTGCTTCGCAATTACGGTTTAACCGCGAAGCCTATACGTTCTGCCCCACTTTAATTATTTCACATGATTAATTCTAAAAGTCATAATTGAGAGATTCTTGATATTTACTCAGTGTATTTATATTTAAAACAATGTTCCTCCTGTTTTAAACTAAAATGTGATAATTATTTTGCTAGAGTACGACAGAACAATTTTATATACTTTTTATATGCTCATTTATTTAAGGGAAATTGTTCGGCAATTATATCCTTAACGAAATTTTGCGCGAATTAAAATAAATCTGCCTGTTAGAGCAGATAACAAAAATTCATTTCTGAACGTTATCCAAAGCACGCACGGAGGAGTCAGGCTAGGCGAACGCGTGACGCGTCCACGCATTGCGAAGATGAATTGTAAATCAAGCGTCAGAGAGTTCGTGCTCGCTTTCGGTTTTAATCGGGCTAGAGCTAGTCGTGCCGCGTCGATGTCGCTCGTTGTAAATTTCAACCTCGGACGCGCGTAAATTATTAGATGGCCGGTGACGTTCGTTTCGCGCTGCCCGCTTTTCCCGCGGTGGTTTTTCCCGCACGGTATCGCATCCGCCTGCTAATTGGTGTTTGTGCGAAAATGTTTGCCCGTCGAGTATTAATAAGGCTGTTTGGTTTCGTTACGTCGCGTCGGCGTGTTTGCACGCTGTCAAGCCCAACGGATTATTCGTTAGCTATTAATTGGGCACATCTCAAAGGTATCGGTGCTGCCAAGATAAAAAAATATTCACGGTTCTCTACAGAAAACGTTTAATGATTATGAAAGTTGGCGTACTTCTTTTTAAGAACATGAACAGCCGTTAATTACTGTCTTGGTTGTTTTATATATTTTCTGTTCAGACAGTCTATGGAAAAACTTCCCAAACAAAATGTTCAGTACTTGTACTCTCTTTATAATTCCAAGTTTATACGGATTAAATAAATTCGTAATCAATGAATAGATATCAAAATATTGGAGGCATTACTAAACAATTTTATAAACAATTCGGTTTTATAATTTATTTGATTGGTTACATTTCAAGAGAATTGGGTTTCTTCCATTTTTATGGAAATTGGGCAGTCATCGGGACTTTTTGTCTGCCCGTTCCTCTCGAAGTGTCGCATTTGAAAACTTCATGGAATAGAATCGATAAATGCGCGGCCTCCGTGCGAAATAAGCGTAAATAAAAACAAGCCGTAAATAAATGAATCTCAAACCAACTTCTGTCGAACTATCAAATTCCAAGATATTTCAGTATATTTAGAAATTTCATGGATGACGCTGTTCGATAAATGTGTTGAATTAAGTCAGGAGGATTTATGAATGTCTTATACAAATCCTTCGGACATTTTACTTGAATTTTTTATGTCAACTATCTGGCACGAGGAGTTTAAATATTTTCGCAAGTCGATGTACGATAACGATCATTTTCGGAGAATAACTTATTTTTAATTTGTTGCCAAATATCGAGCGCAAACATGTGTAAAAGCAAACATTAACGAGCGCGCGCGCGCGCTTCAACGCGAACGGATTTTAATTCTGTGTACCAGAACAGCAATTTACGAATACATATCGAACAGTAATGAAACGTTACTTTCGGTACGTTATTGCTTACATAGTGTTCTGAACATATATGGACCTGTTCGTGCCGCGAGGATGTTTGCAATAAACTTCTCGTTAATAAATTGCTGTATTCATAATATGAGGATATTAAAAGCGCACTGCAACGTTCATAATATTTTTTCATTGTACTAATTAAAATTATATGAAACATTTGTTCTAAAATAGTGGCAACGTTGTTTCGGCTGAACGCGACTAGAAAATATGAGACTGTTTAAAGTGTTTGCAAAAACTTGAAGACCCAATGAGAACTGACTCGAGTTTATGAGCTGTTTATTGCCCGACCGCAGAGAATACTGCATTCAGAATGCACTGCCACAACCGGTCAATTAATCTGCTTTTTGTTCGGCCCGACGTCGGGACTAAGAAGCAACTCGAGAATTTGACTAATGCTGGCTCCTTGAATTCGTGCGCAAGACCGAACGTCTAAATTTCAAGCTGAGAGTCTGTTTACGACCCCGTACAATATATTCACCCTTGCTGTATTCCATTTTAATAATCAAGATGAAAGGGAACAAACATGCGAAAGGTGAGACACGAAGCACGTGCAGAAGAACAAAAGGGTAAAGCATGACTTTTTTCATAGGAATGATACTTGATGTGCAGATATGTTTTATATAAAAAATTTTGAGAAAAATAACTGAAACAATATAAGAATAAAATTAATTTATATATGAATAAAACTAGAATTTTGATTTCATTAAAGAAAACCTTGAGAAACGAAACAATAATTCGAGTCATTTAAATCAATCATCCCCTCAGTGATTCAGATATTGGTAAATAGTATCGGAACGCTTACGGCAATGATTAAGCGGCATCTTGCAACCCCCAGAGGATCGAGAAGACAATTTAGATGTCTCGATTCGCGACAACGTGCCGCGATACGGCGGGCAGAGCACGAAATTATTATTATCTGGAATTATAGTACCGTGGCAGCGTGGCACGTGTGCTATTATACCGTGAGTTTGCCGGCATGGCACCGGCCGCGACTGAGTTGGATTAAATAACGCAGAAGCGTTCTTTTCCGACGCCGCCTGTTACAATTTCCCTGTAACTGCGTTTAATTCGACCCGGCCGTCGTTTCGAAATTTAATTGGACAAAAGAGCGCACCGACATTGTTATAAACAGAACAGCAAAAATAAAGACTATTTGCCATATTAAATGAGACTAATTTCGTTTAGAGCGTTTATTGGCTTTTCACGTTCAGTCGTTTATAAAAAGATATAGTTTGAAGTTATAAATAATTTCAATTTTCCTCGCGTTCAGCCAATTTCATTTAATAACAAATATCTGAACTTGCTATATTAAATTCTGACTGCATCGTCTATATTCATTTCAAATTTATATGGAACATTTCCAATGGCGAAGAAAACTGAATTTAAGATGCGGGATTAAAATGTTAATATTTATTCTAATGCACTTCACTGCATGCACTGAATTAGTGGAACCGCATACCAGTTACGGAACATTTTGATTATTTAGTTTTATCAGCCATTTACGATCTTACGGGGGGCTCCAAAATTGAATGAATTTAATTAAAGCTGCGTGAAGAGGATATTCCGTTTAAATTTTAATCCGAGCATAAAATCATCGATTAAATTAATCCAGAAAATTATTCGAGA